ATATTTATATATTTGATTTATATTTATTTATATTGATTTTATCTTTGATTATCATCTTTTATTTCTCCTTTTGTCAATTTTTCTATTCTAAACATCATCCATTTCTTCTTTTTATTCTTTGTTATTATTATTTTATATTAGATGATATTTTTATCATTTTATATTTGTTTATATTGTTTGTTTATATTTTATTATTATTATTTATTGTTGTTTATCTTATATTATTTATTTATTATATGTTGTATTGTTATTTATCAATGTTAATAAGAAATGAATAATAATGAATAAATATAAAATAAGAATAAAATGATATAAGAATATAACATAAATAATAAAATAAGAAATATATAATAGATATAAAGATAAAAGAAGAAGAATAAAATAAATAAATATAAAATAATATAAATAAAATAAAAAATAAATAAAAAAGAATAAAATAAATATTTTATTATATTTTTATTTATCTTTTATTCTTATTTCTTTTTATTATTTATTAAATTAACACCCCCATTGGGTGTGATTCTTTCAAATGAAATAAAATAAAACAAGAATGAAATATGTCCATTTTTATATTCATCATTTCATTCATTGATAGATGAAATGTTCATATTCATTTATTGATTTTATTTTATATTCTTTTTTATTTTTTATAATTCAAATAAACAATAATGAATAAAAATCATTTCATTTCAATTACAATGATTCGTTGTGGTATGAATTGATTTTGAAATTGTTTTCCACAAAGTGCATTTGATATTCCTTTATATTCATATGAATGTTGTTTACAATATGAATTTATTTTATCATTTTCTTTATAAACAAGAATATCAAATCCAAATCCAAACAACCTATCATCTGATTGATTAAATAAACAAAATATATCTTGTGGTTGTTTAATATCAAATTTCATCATTCCTTGTATTCTTCCTTTTGATTCTAATGAAAATAAAAATGATTTTGAATCATATATATAATCACTAATTTTATCAATTTTCTCATCAACATATCCTCCAAATTTATTTCCATTTGTATCTTCAATAATAATTATTATATGTTCTTTATTTATTATTCTTTGATCAAATACTGATGTATACTTATTCCAATCGTCTTTATCTGAATCAAATATTATATTTCCTATTCTTCTTTCTGTCCATTCTTCTAGTTGTTAAATTTGATATTTTGGTGGATATTTCTTTTCAACTCTTTTACTTTCCCATTCTATTCGAATACCTTCTAGTTTTTTTTTTCATACGCCATTCTCCCTTCCTTATTTCCTTCAATTAATTTATTAATTCGTATTTCTTCAGTTTCAATCACTTTTGTAATGATGTTATCAACTTGTTCTGATAATATTTCTTTATCATCATATCTAATTTCATTAATTCTTTGATAGACATCCTTTAATTTATTTGTCATCATCATTCCTTCTTTTATTTTATTTCTAATCATTTCATTTCTTCTAATTATTTCTTCTTTTCTATCATAAATTCCTTCAATTCTTTTAATTCTATCTTCTGGACTTTCATTTTCATTGTCAGTTATCTCTTCTCCAATTCTATTTTCCCAATTCTCATTATATTCTCGTGCACTTTTCATGATTTCATCAATACGATTCTTAACATCGTTACTTATTTGTTGTAATTCATTAAACACTTCATTTCTTTCTTCTTTGTTTATATTCATTCTTCTTTTATTCTTCTTTGTTATTTAGTTTGTTTCTCATACTTTTTGTTTTCTTCTAAACATCATTCATTCATTTTCAAGCTCTAATTATTAGTTCAACGATAATTATTAATAGATCATCTATTTTTATCAATTATTATAAATAGATTAAATTAAAATAGATTATTTTAATATTTTATTATTATTAATATTAATAGTTCAAAAACAAATAAAAAGTAGATAATTAAGTGTTAATAGAAATATTTTATATTGTCATTGCTCAGCGGAGATAATTAATCCCTTTCCTTTAAAGTGTTTATTCATCATTTATTAGTTTATTCTTTGATTTTGGTTGTTGAATTGTGACAATTTCATTTTCTCTTTTATTTATTGTGGAATAGAATATTTTAAATATCTATTACTTAAATATTCATCATTTAATTTCTTTTTAATTTTGATGAATATTAAAATTATTCTTTATTTTCTTATTTTAAGGAGAATATATAATTACTACTGTATTACTATGAGTTAATATTCTTTTTAGTATCAACCACTAAACCCTTTTTCTTTATTAATCTTATATTATCAAATATATTTGTATCATAACAAGTAATAATAACATCTTTATAAATACCCATTCTTTTATTATCAATGATATCACACCATTGTAATTAATAAACACTGCTATTCTTGTAGTATTGAATATGATGTTTTTCTAACTAAATACAACACTATAACCAGTCCATAACTGGTGGAATCGAAGGATGGAAATATTTTAGGGTTTTGTGTGGTGTCTCTGACGTGCTCTCTTCGAATCCCCCAAAAACAAAAAGAAGTAATAAAAAGAAGAAAGAAGATAGATGTAATAGATACAAAGATAATATGATATTACCATTTGATAAACAACAGAAATAATGAGAAATGAAAATATATGAAAAACAGAAAAAGAAGAAAAGAAAGAATTAAAGAAACAAAGATTATATTAATAAACAAAATGGTAAATGATAGAGAAGTAATAGAAATGAATGAAAACATTAAAATAATAAGAATAATATCAATAATATATAATAATGATAATATATAATAATGTAATGAACATAAAATAAGAGTATTGAATAATTCAAGATATTCAATAGAAAATATAACACAAATAATGAATGATTAATAATTGAATTAACTAATAAAATATCACATATTCAATAATAAAAAATGAGAAATATAGATAAACAAGAATATTTAGAATTGAATGAATATGATAAATAAGAAATAAGAAATAAATCATGATAGAATTATAAATAATGAGAACAATATAATAAAAGTTAATAAAAGAATAAAAGTATATTAATATTACAACAAGAATGAATAACAAGAAATAGAAAAGAAAAGAATAAAAGAAGTGATATCATTATTATTCATTGACCATTTACTGATAAAACAAAAGAAATGATTAATTATAAAATATTTCAAAAATAGAAAAAACATTAATATTAAAAATATACAAATGATATAAATGATGATATTACAAAAAACATCAAGAAAGATTAAAAGACGATATTGAAGTAATGATTTTGAGAAGAAATTAATACAACAAATAAATAATAGAAGTTAGAAAATAAAATAATCTACATATTATATGAGAAATAAAATAAGAGAATGAATAAATAATGAAACATAGAATAAAGAAACAAAAGTAAAAATAGAATATAGAAATAGAATAAACTAAATGAAAGAATGAAATTATAACATTTATTATGATAATTTCAAACAACTCAACATTAAATAACAACAAATGATAGTAATTATAATAACAAGAATAACATAGAATGAATAGAAAACAATAAATTTAATACAATTTATCTCGATAATTCATAGATTTCATTTATTAATTGATAAACAAAATAACATAATTATACAAACAATAATAGAAACAAGAAATTAATTGAAAATCAATTAAAACACTCTTAAATGAACAAAATTTCAAATGAAATAAATTAAATATATTGAAAATATAAACTTAATTAATAAAGAAAATATATCAATAAAGTAATACCACATAAAATACAAATAAATATAAAATAAGAGATGATAAAATATAAAATAACAAATAAAAAGAAGAATATAAAATTAACATAATTACAAACATTACATAATTATTCAAATCAAATAACATTAAAATATTATCAAAATAGAAAATATTATATTATTTTATATTATTTTAGCTTTCAAATCAATTGAATAACATTAATTATTGAATTTTCATTAATCAACAGTCATTTTACAACATTTAACAATGATAATATTAATATTTAATAATATCATATTATTCATATAAATAATAAATAAAATATGCTCTATTTCACTGATGATGTACCAATTCAAAGTCTTAAAATTAATAACTATGAAACAATAAATCAAGAATGAAATAATGATAACATCAATATATTTTAATGATATTAAAGAAATTATTAAAATATAAAATAATGATAAAAGAAAACAATGAAATATAAAATAAATTCATTTTAATATAAATCATTTAAATAATTAAACAATAAAATTATTTTATAATAATGAAATATTTCATAAATATAATAAAAATGAACAAATAAAAGAATAGAGAAAAATAAATAAAATAATAATAAATAATAAAATAAAATAATCAATATATTAAAAAGAAAAAAGATAATAAATAATATATATAAATAAAAATTATAAAAATAAAAATGAATAAAATAAATTGCATAAATAAAATAATGTTAAATAATTTGCATCAATAAATTAAACGCTTTTTTATTTCATATTTCAAATTTCTGTAATAAAAAATACATCCATTATTTCATCATTATTTTCATCATTTATTATCTCATTTTGAATTATTCTTTTTTATCTTCTTTCATTTTATATTCTCAACATTCTACTTTTATTCTTTTCATCTTCTTCTACTTCTTTCTTTTTTATACCCTTCTTTCTCTTCATTTTTCTCTTATTTCATTTTTTATGGCATATTATTAAATATTTGAATAACATATTATAATTATTGATTGTCTGATTATTGTTATATATATTTTATCAACATTTAGAATATCAATATTTAATAAAATTAGAATAAAATTAAAATATTTTTAAATTCATTTTGTAATGATAATGAATATAATTATTTCTATGTTTAATACACTTTATATTTATATCTATTTATTATTTATTTTCATTATCTATTTTATTAATCATTTATAGTCAATTTATTGATGAATATCAATTAATTATAATAATATTATATGATTAAATCATTATTCATTTTAATAATTAATTAATATATTATTATATCATGATATTCAATGATAATAAATAATAAAGTTAATAGAAATATATTAAATGATAGAATAAACATTCTTATTATTATTATTTTAAATATAATATGATATATTAGTTATAATGAAGTGTTTGAATATTATTAATCATTTTTAATAATTCTTTTGATAATGAATATATTTTATTCTTTATTATATTATATATTTGATAATTATAATTATTCTCTTATTAATTTTTCATATTTATGAATTAATATAATAATTAATTTTTCAATCAATAAAATGATTAAATTTATTTCTATTAAATAATAAATATTTGAGTATTTATTATTGTATAATTTCAGAAACATTTCTTTATTTTAATTTTATCTCTTTTAATTCTCCTTTCATTTCAATCAAATATTGATACACAAAGTTAATAGAACTATTAGAAAATATTGAAATAACAAAATACATGATTCAATAAGTTCTAATAGTTAATATTTGTTTCAATTAATAATTTATATTTTTATAACATTTTCATTTTTTGTGTTTTGTTATTCTAAAAATAAATTATTCTATTTTTGGAAAATCTGATTGAAATAAAATATAAATCAATGTGTTTATTTCTAAATTCGTTTTTTTTGTCATGCCATCAAACACAATCTTATAATATTCATTTAATGAATGTACAAGAAGAGCTCTCAATTTCGTTGGAATTGATTTAGGACTTACACCTTCTTCAGTTGCTTATTTTGACATTGTTAAAAATGAACCTATCTTAATTCAAGATGAAATAAGAAATAAACAAATAGCATCATGTGTTAGTCATTAGTGGAATGATATTAAAATATTTATATGAAATTGCACAAGAAAAACTTGGTAATCATCCAATATCAAATGTTGTTGTTACTGTTCCAGTTTATTTTAATGACAGACAAAGTTAGCGTGTAAATTAGCAGGAATTAAGAATGTTGAACTTGAAAATGAACCAGTAGCAGTTATTATTGAATACAAGAGAGAATATCAAAGTTTATTAAAAAATGGAGATAAAATTGTAGTAATTGATTTTGGAAGAACATTAGATGTGTCATGTTGTAAAATAGCAAATGATAATATTATTGTAGAATCATCTGGAGGAAATCAAAATTTAGGAGGAAATAATTTTGATAAAGTAATGAATGATATTATTAAAGAAAGAATAGAAGAAGGTATTCCAGGATATTATGAAAAGAAAATAAGAATGACTCAAAAAGAAACAATGACATTCAACAAGAAATTAATTAAATTAAAGAAAGAATCAGAAAGAATTAAAATTAAATTAAGTAATAAAACTGATACTGAATTAAATTTAGAATTATTATTATATGATGATTATGGATATGATACTATTGTTAATACGATTATTACAAGAAAAAGAATTTGAAGATGAATGTTACAGAATACATGAAGAATTTATTAATAAAATAAAACAAGTTACTCAAAAAAGGCATAAAAGAGGAGATATTAAATTAGTGATATTAAATAGTGGAACATGTAAAATACCAAGAATTAGAGAAGAAGTTGCTAAGTTATTTGATATACAAACATTTTCTGATAATAACTTTAATCCACTTAATGCTGTTGTAAAAGGAGCTGCATATTTAGCTCAAGAAATTGCTATGTGTTATGAAGTTATATATGATAATGTTCCAACACCAATTGGAATAGAATTAGAAGGGTGAAAATTTGAAATAATTATTAAAGAAGGAGAAACACTTCCTACAAATATAATTACAAAAAGGTATTATACAACAAAACTCAATCAAGACCCGCCAAATTTAATATTTATAAAGGATTTGGTAGATGTGTTAATTCATATAAAATGGAATACATTACTACAATTCGTATTGATGGAATTCCTAATGGAAAATTTGGAGAACAAACAATTGACTTTACAATTAAAGTTAATCAAAATGGAATGATGGAATTAAGTGCTTCTGTTGTTGGAACTGATGCTAAAGGAGATTTAATTGTTAGTGTTGATTTATCTAAAGAAGATGATGAAATTACAAAATTAATAAAACATTTTCAAACATTTTATTAAATGAATAATTCTTAATTGATGTTTTAATTTGATAATAAACTGATACAATGAATGAATAAGAGAGAGTGATAAGTTATAAAAGAAATAAAAAAGAATAAATAACAAATGAAGAATATCAAATTGATTATCATTTATTTATTATTTGTCCTTCTATTTTATTTATTATCTTTTAATTCATTTCATCACCGTTTATTATTTAAACAAGAAGAAGATGTAAATTATTTAATATCGTTAATGGATTGAAGTAGGTGATGAATGGAATAGGCAACGAAAAAAGGAAATAAGAGAAAGGAAGAGAAAGAATGACATGAAAGAAAAAAAGTGAAATTAAGAAGTAGAAGAAGATGAAAAGAATAAAAGTAGAATGTTGAGAATATAAAATGAAAGAAGATAAAAAAGAATAATTCAAAAAGAGATAATAAATGATGAAAAGAATGATGAAATAATGGATGCATTTTTTATTATTAGTGTTTATTATGTAATCAGTTATAAATGTTATGTGATTAGTATATAATATGTAATATATGATAAATAATAAGTGTTAATATATATAGAAGATAGAAAAATAATAAGAGAAAAGAAATGATATAATAATAAATAAAATATATAAATAAAATCAATATAATATAAATAAAATAATAATAAATATAAAGAGAAAATTGATATAAATTATAAAAATATAATCAAAATGAAAATAAGATAAAGAAATGTATTAATATATAAGAAAATATATATAAATAGAAATATATGAATTTAAAGAAAATATAAATAATAAGAATATAAAACTAATAAAATATGATAAATATAAAATATATAGATAATATGATGATATATATAATATAATAATAAAATATATAAATATATAAAAATAAAATACATAATTAACATAATAATAAAAATGTATACTTACATTGAATCAAATATCATTTCTGAATCATTTATAATTCAGAACAATTTATCATAAAATGATATAAAATATAGACAAATATAAATGAATATGGAATGTGTATTTAATTTACTTTTTTATTTTAAGAACAAAATAATAAAAATTAATTTATTTTATTGATACAAAATATTTTCCCCTTATCGAAATTCAAATTAAATAAATAATAGAAATTTAATGAAAATATCAAATAATAAAAAGGGAGTAATCATCATTTTTATTTTATATTAATTTTAATTTGTCTTTCATTTTTAATGATTAAGAAATAACAACAATTTCAAATAAATAAAATTAATGTTATGAAAAATGTTAAAAATAAGAATATTGTTATAAAGATAATGAATATAAAGATATGAGTATGAAAAATAGATGAAAATAATAAAAATAGAATATTTCTAACACATTATCAAAATAGATAAAAGAGAGTATAAAAATAAGAAATGAAAAAGAACAGAGAATAAAGAAGTGTGAAATACTGAATTATTGATTTTTCATTAATCAAATGAAATATTAATTGTTATTATATTTTTTATTCATTAATGTAAATCTAATAATATTGATTTATCAATTAATATACATTGTTAATCTTATCATTTATCTATCATATACATCATTAATTATTTTATTCTTGAAATTTTATTTATTTCAATATTCAATAATTTAATAAAAACATTAATGAATATTAGAATTGATAATAATGAAGAATGAAAATATAAAATGAATATGATCAGATTAAATATAATAACTATATTTGAACATTGTTATTATTTGAATAATAAAAAGAATAGAAGTTGAAATAAATGTAATTTGAAAATATAAATTTAATTTGATAAAGAATAAAGAAAATCAAAGAATAATTATAATAATAGAAAAAGGATAAGATTAAATACAGAAATATTAATGAAATGATATTACATTATTTATATTATTAATATTTTAAATTTGTTTATATTGTTTAAATTAAAATAATAAAATATAATCATGATTTGAAGAATATAGAAATTCTATTAATTTAAATAATATTAAAATAATGAAATAGAATTATAAAATAACAATGAATAAAATATTTATAAATAATGAAAATGATGTGATATTTCAATTCATGAAAATTGAATTATTATTAACTAATATATCTTTATTGTAATTTATGATATTTTCATCATTATTAATATATTTATAATGAGTATTGAAATCAATTTCATTAAAATATGTAACTATTACATATTTATATATTTGATTATTCTTTATTACGTCATAACAAAATATAATTAATAGATTGAATAATGTTATGATTATGTTTACAATAATTTAAAATATCAATATTGATTATTTTAGAATTAATACTTCAATTAATAATTATTTATTCATATATCTTTATTAATTTGATGAATGAAATTATTTTTATATTTAATAACATATTGTTACTGATAATTTCATATTATTAAATATATTATTTATATTTCTTATATATTCACTTCATTTATTTCATTTAATTATTATTTAATTCACTTATTTATTATTAATCATTTTCGTTTTAATCATTTAATTATTTTCTTTCATTTATATGTGTTTATTCTTGTCTTTTATTATGATATTGTTTTATATCTGTATTATGTTTTATTATGTGATTTATTTGTATTATAATATTGATTGATTCTATTTGAATTAATGATAAAATACTTATGATGATGAAAATGAATGAAGTGATGAATGAAATGATTCATACCATTATTGTTACAATTGTTATGGTGATAGTTATTATTATGGTAATGTTTAATGTGATAATTATTGTATTTCTATCAATACAGATAATATTTGTTTTCATTCTTTTATTATTGAATGTTTGTTTTATTTTTTGTATTTCATTTTTATCAAAAGAAAATAAATGAAAAATATAAATAAAAATAAAACAAAAAATCAATAATTTATATATAACAATCATTACCCCTTCAATGTTATTATAATTTTATAACAACCATTTTAAAATAATAAAATTAAATGAAGAAACAATAAATTGTAATATAACATGAAAGAAATACGAAATAAGTCAAATGATTTTATCTATTTTTAATTTAAATAAATTCAATTCAAGAAAAACGATAAAAATAAATAAAGAATAAATAAATTATTTTGAAATTTTACATTGATGAAAACTTCTTTGTAATGTTATTTCATGAAAACATAATTAACGATAAAAATATACTGAAATATAAAAATAAAAGTGAATAAAATATTAAAACAAATGATGTTTAAAAGAAATAACCAATTAGAAAAAGAAGTAATATTTTTAAACAAATAACATATTTTCTAAATTGTCAATATTTAAACTACAAAATAAACTTATTGTTCATTAAATGTCAAAAGTAGTAGTAAAATTCTATTTGAATAAACAATGTATTTCAACTAAACCAATGAATTCACAAGACAATTTAAAAACAGCAAGAGAGAAATTAAAAGAAAAGATGTCTGGTTCTCAACAATTCCTAACAAAAGAAGGAGATTTAATTGATATAAATGATGAAGATTCATTTACTATAGAAGATGTAATTGATTCATCAAGAATAATAAATATCAAAGAAACAGCAGATAAAAAGGAATTAAAAATAAAATTAAATGACAAATTATTTAAAACTATTGAATTGGATAAGAAAACAAAATTAAGTGATATCAGGAAATCAATTCAAAATATTCCAGAATCTGCACATTTCTATACACTTGATAACGAAATAATTGAAAAGGATGAAGAAGATGTGTTTTTAGTAGAAGACATATTAAATAATGACGAAATTATTATTAAAAAAGAGAAAGAAAATGCACCAGAAAATGATATTGTAACTGTTAGAATATATTTAAATGGAAAACCATTAATAAAAAATGAATTCAACAAGAACTCTTCTCTTTCAGATATAAGAAAGGAAATTGAAAATATAAAAAATATTCCAAAAGACTTTGTATTTGAAGACCAAGAAGGATTTAAAATACAAAAAGGTGAAGAACAGTCATTAAAATTAACATCTGTTCTGTATGATAACAAGATCAATATAACAACAGAAATGTTTGATACTTCATCAAATAATACAACATCTGTTGGTTCACCATGTAATACTACAGATTTATCTGAACCAAATGTTCCAATTGAAGGAAGTATAAGATTGGAAAATCATGAAACAGGAAAATTGAAAATATATTTATATCCAAATGAAGAATTTAATCAAGTAGATGAGAGTGATGCAATTGCTATTTTGGTTGTTGGACAAACAGGAAGTGGTAAAACAACATTATTAAATAGTTTTATAAATGCATTATATGGAATCAAGATAACAGATGATTTTAGATATATAATTATAAATGAAGGTAATTTAGAACAGAATAGAGATCAATCTAAAAGTCAAACAAGTGAAGTAACAATTTATAATATTAAAAGAACAAAAAAAGCACCACCAATAAAAATAATAGATACACCTGGATTTGGAGATACAAGAGGAATGGAGTATGACAAAGTAATTACTAAACAAATCAAAGAAGCATTTGAAACAAAAGTATCAGATTTAAATGCTATTTGTTTTGTTGCACAATCAAGTAATGCAAGACTAACAGCAAACCAAAAATATATATTTGGGAATATTATTGATTTATTTGGTAATGATGTGAAAAAGAATTTTATTGCTATGCTTACATTCTGTGATGGTAAAACACCACAAGTTATTAATGCATTACAATCAAAAGAATGTATTTTCAGTACAATTATTCCATATATAGATGAACCATGGTATTTAAAATTTAATAATTCAGCTATTTATGATGATAATACTGAAGATGGATTTACACAAATGTTTTGGCAGTTAGGTATGAAGAACTTTGATGACTTTATTGAAAAATTAATAAAATTACCAAGAAAATCATTAGAAAAGTCGAGAGAAGTTTTGAAGAGTAGAGAACGTATCAAAGTGCAAATTGAAGGATTGAGTAAATCATTAAATAATGGCTTATCAAAACTGAGTGAAATAAAACAGACATATGAAGTATTTTATTTGAATCGAGATAAGATTAATAATAATCAAAATTTTACTTTTACTGTAACAAAAAGAGATCAAGTTCAGATTAAATTAAAACCAGGAGAATATGTAACTAATTGTTTGAGATGTAAGAACACATCATGTCATTATCCATGTTTTATTCCAGGAGATGTAAAAGATGGATGTTATTGTATTGGTGCTAATGGATATTGTAATGTATGTGGTTGTTATTATACACACCACGCAAACTCAAAATACAGATGGGACTATAAAGAAGAAACAGAAACAAAAACAGCACAAGAAGTACTTGCAAGATATAAAGAAGGTGTAGAAGGTAAGGCTAGTGCAGAAAATATGTTAAAAAAGTTAGAAGAAGAATACTATGAAATTCAAATGGATTGTTATGATAAAGAAGTAGAAATTATAGAATGTATTAATAGATTATCATCAATTGCATTAAATGATAAAATTACCAGTTCCAATGAATATTTAGATTTATTAATTGAGTCAGAAAATGATGAAAAGAAACCTGGATATAAAGAAAGAGTTGAAGGATATAAAAAACTAAAAAAAGCAAATGAAACAATAGAAGATATTATGAAAAAATCAGGTTCAAAAAAGAGTAAGGAAGAAATTAAGAAAGAACTTGAAAGAAAAAAGGAAGATTTAGTACAAGGACAAAAATCAACATTAGATAAAAATTGTGAGAGCTGTGTTATTTGTTGAAGACAGATAATTAAATGAAAGTTTTAATTAATTAGTTTAGTTTAATTCATCAAATGTTATCATTATAAATGAAATACATAATATCATTTATTATCTTATTTGTAATGTTATCATTATAGTTGTAGAGTTAAATATTAGTTTCATTTTATCTTTTTAAGTGTTAATAATGATTAAATCATCAATAAGTATCATACTGTTATTATTTAAACTTATTTACTCTTAAATTTTTCATTTTTCTTGAAGTATTTTGTATTTATTTAATTTGTGTAACTGATTGAGATGTGTTGATATTGTACAATTACAATATCAATAAATATGATTTGTTGTTAATGAAATGTGATTGAATTTATGTAATAATTAAACTCTGTAATTATTTCATAAAACAACAAACTCTCTATTTGATTGTTTTGTGATATGAACAAACATATGTGATATATACACATTTTCTCATTGATTTTCTGATTCAATAACATTATGTTGATATTCATTCTCATCAATTCACAATTTGCTTGATAAATTCATAAATAACCATTGGACAATTCATCTTGAATTTTATCAAATAACTCTACTAAATGACATTACCACTTGAATAACACTCTTTTTTTTTATTCAATGATTTTCTCTTTTATATATTTTTTATTTATTTTTCTTTTCTTAATGAATCAGTGTTTATTCTAATTGGATTTTGTTGTTTGTTTTCAGTTGTTTAGCAAACTGACCAAGACAATAAATTACAAAGAATATAAATGTGATATTTCTCATTAACTAATTTTTAGTTCTTTTCTATTTTTTTATTTTTTAATATAACAAATAAATGAAATATAATTTAAATTATTTAATTAAATTGAAATAAGTAGAAATATTATTTATTGTTTCTTTGAATAATACAACTTCACATAAATAATTTAATTATCATGCTTGTTTCATAACACTTTAATCAAAATGTGATTTGATTTCATTTATTTATAATTTGATTTATCTTGTTAAGGTTTGTATCAACATTGATATTATTGACATGAAGTAAATTTAAAAGACAAAATATGTTCACAAAAGAGTATTAGAGTATGTAGAAATTCTTTATAATTTATTTTAAATTACTTGATATTTATATTATGTAGTTTTTCATGTTTTAAATTTCTTTAAATTAGTATAAATAAAAACAAATGAATTATTTCCTTTATTATTATTTATCATTTGTTCATTTAAATTGATTGTTCAACTCTTTCTTTATTTTCAAATTCATAATTCAAGTATTACAATAATATTGAATTTGTAAATAAAATAATTCTTGTTTTTTAATTTCTTTTATTTCATTCATCTTTGTTTCTTTTCAGATTTGAAGATAGTGTGTCAGATATAACACCACATGGAACCTTAATATCTAATCTTTGAGTCGTCAATACAGTTTTATAATAAGATGCTTTTGGTGAGATAACACATAACCTAAGATTAATTAGTTATTATTTATTAATATTTATTATGAATGATTATTATGGAGTATTAATTATTTATTATGATGGTATTATTATTTATCAACATATAAGACATTTATCAATGATAGATTTGAGTTGAATACATAGAGTGTTATTAAGAAAAAGAAGATTCTTTAAACAATATTGATGATAAAAGAGATAGACCATAATCATAATGTTGTTGATATACTCTTATAATAACAATATAAATAATGAAGAGTTTTAATACTCATTTATTTCAAAATAAAAATCAGATAACAACTAAAACAATGAATTATTTAATTTAGAAATGATTAAAAAACAATAAATGA